AGAAAAAACCAAGAAAGTACATACGACCGGTTTCGGTCGTATAAATAAAGTCAACTAGTGGTAATTAGACAAAAGTGTACGAAAAATGGCTTTCACGGATCGATTTTTTTATTCATGTTATTAAAAATAATTAATTATATGTTGCAAAACATTGTTACGAATGTGAGAAATGTATTTGAATGGAAAACTATGCATTCAAAATAAAACGCGATGTTACTTTACTGAAGTGCCCTAGCCTAAGCTCCACGGTTTTTCACAATTTAGAAGTCTCTGACCTACCTCACATACATAACCTTGAGATTATCGAATTCCGTTTCGAGACTTTACGAATGAATGAAAGAACTTTAATAGAACATTCAGATCTGTTCGGGAGCGAGTACGGAATAATTTTCCAATACTCAGAGAGGAGAGACATTTTTGGTTTATTGGCATACCGTTGTGAATTAAATTGGTGGATAATGTTTTATTTTGAAGGTGACACGAAACTATCTCTATTTACTGTACTGAGTGTAACTTTTCTGAGAAACAACGAGAGCACGTTATTCTCATAAAGTAATAACTGGAAACGTGTTAGGAATCACACGTTAAAAGGTAAGACCTCGTTAATCCCTAGCTCGCACAAGTTTTGACTTCCGAGGGTTATCGTTCGTACGGGTGCGGCAGCTGGTTAACCGAAAAACAGATTTTAAACAGATTTTAAACAGAATAACTGGCAAAGTTTCATTATTGACTTACAGGTGTCGGTCTTAGCTGAACAAGTAAGGCTATGAGTATATAATTGACATAGGTAATTACAAAACTAAACCAACATTCTCCAATTCACCTACGGCTCAGCTTCTCGGGTTGTTGTATGAGAACTTCATGTTTTTGTCAGACCAATGATGATTTATAATCACTTTCAAGAAAACCAAAGATTCATCTGAAGAATAGGTATGCAACAACAATTTTTAGTTATTTATTATGTTTTCACTTATACATCCTAAAATTGCAAAGAAGCAAAAGAAGAATTTTATACGGGTGGAATTTATGCAAATTAACAACACTTCTGATGCTACGAGTTTAGCAATATATTTCTGGTTATCATGCTCATTAGGGTTTCAGCCATTGATTAACTGTGCTGTAATATTAACGCACCTGTCGTTTTCATAATAAATTGATGGATGTAGCCGTTACTATGTGGTAGGAGATCATTCATGATAGTTAAAAATACATATTTATTTCACTTCTTGACAGTATTTCAAATACTGTCCAGATATTGAGAGCTACTGAACGTAGATGAATGCTTTTATTTTTTCATTTCAAGTATTGAAATCCAAGTACTAAATTGTTAACGAGCAATTGAAGCAATTCTTGATAAAATATCTCGTTTTCATAATAAATTGATGGATGTAGCCGTTACTATGTGGTAGGAGATCATTCATGATAGTTAAAAATACATGTTTATTTCACTTCTTGACAGTATTTCAAATACTGTCCAGATATTGAGAGCTACTGAACGTAGATGAATGCTTTTATTTTTTCATTTCAAGTATTGAAATCCAAGTACTAAATTGTTAACGAGCAATTGAAGCAATTCTTGATAAAATATCATGATAGCTTGACAAATGTAAAAGTGAATAAAAATAATGTCAGACTTGAGACCTGAGGTTTGATTTTCTCCCCACCGAGGCAGTGGTAGTAAAAAAGTTGAGAGATTTTCCGATTCAATGAGCCTGAGCGAGATTTTGTCTTCGAACTCCAACTATGGAAAATTGGTCCTTGATTCGTTTTCATCGTTCCACTCTGTATACATTTTTTATTTCTATATTATAAACTGTTAGTAAGTAAGATTGTATCTTCGACAATGAGGCATATGTTGGATGGTTAATTATTCTGACCAACTTTATGATTTTCAAAAATGCTATTCACCTTTAGAAGGTTACATTATCAACCAGTAATATGAGCTGTAATAAAAAAATGGGATCTCTACGAAAATTGCAATATTGCATTGCATGTTTGTAATGCGTTATTCGTAATTTTCAGATTACAGTGACACGAAAATTTTGCGGATACTGAATTCGGAATTGGCAGACACTTTGGGCAACTTATTGAATAGGTGCTGTTCACCAACGCTAAATCCCAGACAAACCTTTCCTGCTATCGAATCGTCAGCATTTGATAATGTTTCATCCTTAGAGGTGACTAAGAAACTTATTGAAAGCGTAACGCAACTACCAGGTGAGCATGTTGAATTTTGTGTGCTATTGGATCATTTGGTTCAGTGTTATAATCATTTAATCTATAATCCTAGAGGGTGCAGCCAATCCTATCTTTTCCTCATTTACAATCGAGCGTTATCTATTACAATTATCTTTCTCCAAAGAAGCTGTCCAATCCTCATGTTTATGCGCAACAAAATCCTGCGGTTCATGGTTACCCGAACAACAGTGAACCGGAGATGTGCAGTGTGGTGGAAGACTAGTAGCAAAACGGCCAAGCTTTGACAGAAGAGGAGAAGGAAACTCTGAATAAGACATAATTCAGTCCTTTAGCCAAACCCGCATAGTCCAAAAAAGAACTATTTCCTAATGGAGTTGGAGTCGAAGGTTCGACCAGTTTGTGGATCCTGATTCTTACATGATGGGGGAGTTTCTAACTATATCGATCGACGGTAGAGTTTGCAGCCAAAGGGTCTGCTCAATCAAAGCAATTACTGTTACATCAACTAGATTTTGCAAGCCCTGATCGCATGCACACCACTCTACAATTTGCTGAACAACAGCCTGAGCACGAGAGATGGACGTTTACCACGGTTATAGTTGGAATGTGTCGTTTTGTGGGGCAGTTTGACTACTTATCTTTCAAAATTCCAAGAACGACCAAACATGGGTTAATTGATTTGGTTAAATTCTACACTGAAGATGGAAAACCTCCTGTTGACTCCGCTATGGGCAATGATTCAAATGATGAGTGGAAGGTGATAGGATCGAAAAATAATGGATATGTAACCAGAAGCACCAACTATGCCTGTACACTGATAAGCGACATCTTTGGGGGGCAACTAATGACCAGTTCTAAGCTTGGAAGCAAGTAATAACATGCGAACCTTCCGTTATCTTCATATTGCATTTGAAATTTTTCGATTGCAGCTACTTCGATTGCACGGAAGATTAAAACAGAACTATTAAATATTCATCAAAACAACATTCAAATCCAATTTCTTTGGGCTCCCTCACATATCAGAATAGAGAGCAATGAGAAGGCCGATAGTTTTGCCAAGGATGCCACAAAACTTCAAGAGTGCACAATTACTCACCTCGACATTTACTATAACGATCTGAAACCGCACATCAGTAAAGCCATAATATTTAAGTGGCAGATGAAATGGAATATATCTAAAGCAGCGGCGGCTCGTCAGAGGAGGCAAGGGAGGCTTAGCCTCCCCATAAAATTTGAGGCTATTCATCGCAATAAATTCAAAAATATTGACAAATAATTATGATTATTGTTTTCTAAAAATGCTTGGGTATCATCACTTTACCATTAATTTTGAATATAAATACATAATATGCCCGAAAAAACACTATCATAATAAATGCCATACGTTGCAAGGGAGCCAAGCCTCCGACCGCTTTAAAAAACACAAGCTCCGCGAGACCGAACCAACAAGAGACATACGTTCCAATTTGTAATTTCAGTTGCGGAAATTATAGCGTTAGAGGAGGCTAGCCTCCAGTTGGTCTCCGTTACTGTACGACTCTAAAGTGCCCTAGCCTAAGCTCCAC